ACGGCTTTTCCACGAACCCTAAATCACGTAGATTCATCCCAGCCCTTGGTGAAGCGTAAGAGCTGGCGAAGCCTGTGTTAAATCACCCTCTCTGGGCCCTGCTCTGAGCGGCCGGTCACAAATTCCCGTAATGAGCGCCCCTGCCGGAGCGAGACAGCCCGCTGAATTAAGGGGGCCGAGAGCCCTGGGCAGGGGCAGGGGCAGGGGCGTGTTTGCTCTGGCTGGGAAGGTGCCTGGCCCCGGCCTGTGTGTTGGTGGCCTGATAAGTGGGCCGCGTATAAGTGCCGTGTGGGGGGGGGCAGGGCCACCTGTCGTGTCCCGAGAGGTCACGCCTGCTGGCCCTGGCCGGAGCTGGCTGGAGAGGGACCCCCCTCATCGACCAGGATTATTTTTCTTCCTTTAGGAATAAAAATGGAACCCTCGAACGTTTTGTGTTGACGAATGACTTCCAGACTGCTGTCTGTTTGGAGGACAAAGCTCCCAGCTGCAGGGCAGGCGGAGGCTGTGGTCACCGCATGTTGACGCTGCCCTGTTTCCTGCGGCCGGGCAGCAAGCCCCTGATGGCGGAATGGACACAGCTGGTGGGCAGTGTGGCCCAGTGGGGAGAGAGCAGAAAGCCTGGTTCGTCCTGGCTCTGCGGTTTATCAGCGGTGTCACCTTGGGCAAGTTATTCGACCTCTGTGTGCCTCAGTTTCCTCACCTGTCCACAGGGGGGCTTGTAATCCCGGCTCTGTATGCCTCACCAGAGTGTTGGCAGCATCAGGTGAAATGACATAAGGGGAAAGCGGTGCACTTGTTAATCGGCCGTACATATTTTAATGGGAGAGGCCCACCCTCAGTCCAGCGTGCGGCACTGCGCAGGGACGGCGTCAGCAGGAGGACGCCGTTCTGACGCGGACTGTGGGTTTATGCCTCTCCTGAGAGAGGGGCGATGCCGTCTCTCCTATAGGCACAGAGCTTGACCATGACTGTAGCAGTACTGCTTGCTCGCAGGCTTCCCGAGGGGAGGGATGACGGCTGATTTCCATGGATGCGTTCCCAGGTCTCCGGGGACAAAGGCCACCCCCCCGTGTCCTGGACACCCTCCCCTCACACTTTATGCAGGGGGCTTCTCCTGCAGTCTGCACCCCTCTTCCACCGCAGTGCCAGTTTCTCTCCTTTCCCGTGTTTCGGGGAACAGACACATCCTAATCAGGGCCCACTTAAGGCACACACAGCCCTCCCTCTGGGCGCCTGCTTCCCTGCACCCCAGCCCAGCTCACTGCCTCAGCTCCTCCCCTCCCCGCCCTCCTCAGCCGCTCCCAGGCTCCTGCCTCAGTGGCACTTGTCCACTGCCGTCCTACATGCAGAGTGGCGGTGGTGGTCGGCATTCCGCCCGTCTACCCAGCCTCTCAGGGCTCGCCCTGGAACTTGCTCCTCAGACCTGCCTGAGGCTGCGCCACCGTCTCGCGTCTCAGCTCCCCTCACCTCCAGCTGAGGGGTGCCCAGGGGCTGTTCGAGCAGTCAGAATAACTCTACCTACACCCTTCAGAGGACGCCATGCCCGGTCCTGTGGCTTTCAACACCAGCCAGACAGGGTGACTCCTGCTTCTTTTCTAGCCCAGACCTTCTCTCTGAGCTCCAGACTCGTGCCGGCTGTCTCCTCCGCATCTCCTCTTGACGTCCTCTGCAACTCTGAATGGGCCCCGGGACTCTCTTCCCTGGCTCCTTCCCTCTGACGTCCACTCCTCCCTGCCTTTCCCATCTCCGCAAACGGCACCACCATCCTCGCAGCCCCGCACACCGAACGCCCCGACTCTCCTCCGCCCACCCTGCTGGTGAGTCCAGGCCACTCTCAAGCCTCCCCGGCACCCTCACGGCGGCCCGGTGACGGGGCCCCTCTTGGCCCCTCCAGTCTACACTCCATATGACAGCCGGAGTGAGCTTTCTAAAGCATCAGTCAGATCATACCACTCTCGTGGTCAAGACTCTTCGGTTGGCTTCCACTAGACCCAGCATGAAGTCCAAACCCCTTTCTCTCTCCGGCAAGGCTGGTGTGATCTGCCTCTTGTTCTCCTGCTGCCCGCAATCCAGCCACTCTGGCTTCCTTCCCACCCCGGGAACAAGCAAAGCTCCTTCCCCTTCAGGGCTTTCCACTCTCTGCTCTTTCTGCTTGGACTGCGTGCTCCCAGACGCTGCCGGCGCTCCGTCCTCACTGTCCAGCTATCGGGCTAAAGTTCCCTGCTCCAGAGGAGCCGCCCCACCCACCCAGCTAAAAGTAGTCTTTCCAGCTGCTGTCTACAGCATTACGTATTTTAGCGATTGCACAGCATGTATCAGCCCCTGCAAGGATCTTATTTGTTTGTTGATGTGTTTATCGTCCGTCAAGAACGCTGGCGTCCCCAGTGCTTGGCTCTGTTGTGTGCCCTGCTGCGGCCCCAGCATGAGGGGGAGTGCCTGGCAGACAGGGGGGCCCCGTAAGGACAGTGTCTTTCGCCAATGGGGTTTTCATGACTGTTCAGTGTCTGCACGTATCGTTAGAGTATCTGGGGCATAGATGGGACCTTGGAGATAATGAATCCAATTTCCTTTTCTTTTTGAGACAAGGAAGCTGCGAAGGAGAGAAGGTCTAGGTGTGACAGCAAGTTGGGGGCAGAGCTGTGCTGTCTCGGACGCTGCTGGTCGTGGTGGTGGGAGAGAAGGGCAGCAGGCTGGCAGCCCGGCCAGGTGGGCACAGCACGGCACGGGCCGTCCGTCAGTTGCGACGCTCTGTCCGTGCTCGAACCTCCGACTGTCTGAACTGCAGATGCTGCTCGAGAAGACGGGTGTGGGCAGAGGTCAGCCACTGTAGAATCCAAGTCTGCTGTTCCGCGCCATCAAGGAGGAGCACTTGTGACATGGGAAGGCGATGTGAGGCCTGTTCAGGAGCCTCCGGATCCTTAGGAGGAGGCTAAGACTAACCGCAGGGCTGGGTGGGTGGCCCCGGGGCTTGTCCCTGTGGGTTTTGGAGGGGATGGAAGGCAGGAGAAGGAAAGGCCCATCCACAGCAGATGGGAGATGGGGCAGCTGCCAGGAGGACGAGGGACAGGCCCAGGAGGTAAGGGGGCAGGCCAGTGGCTTCTCTTCCTGTCGTGTGACAGCCACACTCATTTCCTCTGTGATTGTTACAGCGTCCCCAGGCCTGGGTCTTCAAGTGGTGCTCACATCCACAGCTCACTGGCAAGAACCACACTCCAGTAGCGGGGGCGAGATTTCTAGCCGGAGATTCAACAAGTTACCAAAGCGTCACTCAGCCCCTTCCTGTTTGGAGAAGGCTGGGCAAAGCAGAGAGCTGGCTCTGGGGGCAGAGAACAAAAGGGGACGAGGGCCTGGAGGAGGGGGAGAGAGCTCTGCCAAGAGGGGCGGGATATCCGGGCTGCCACCCACTTGGGCCTGCCTTGCCGTTTCCCACGCTGCCCTGGGGCTTTCTCCAGGAGGAGGCCGAGGCCGGCACGGGTGGGGCGACTGGAAGACTGGTCTCGGGGCTCTGGGAACATGCAGGAAGCTCCCTACCTCCTTCTCCCCTCACTGCTTGCTCCAGCCTGCCCCCACCGGCCCCCAGGGTGGGTGACCTGTGGCCCTGGAGGAGCCACGGACGGAGGTGCACTTACATTTCTTCTGCAGAATGCTCTGTCTGGCCTTGATGAATGCCAGGATGTCGGAGTCCGTCTGGCTGTCACCGGTGAGAGGGACGGAGGACATCGGCCTCTCGGGGATGCTGGTGACAACCACATGTCACGCTTTACTACACCTTATGATTGGACTCAGCACTTACCTTTCCAAGTGCTTTTCTGTTTTTGGTGACCGATGTCACCCAGGAAGCCGTGTGACACAGCTGTCCTTTCTCACTCCCTCCCCCCTCTGTGCATTGGCCACACCGAGCCTTTTATCGTGCAAACCGGGTCATGTCACTCCCTGCCTTAAACCCTCTAGTGGCTTCTCATTACTCTTGGAACAAAATGCCTACTCCATCCATGACCTACCAGGTCCTGTGTGACCTGACCCCCGGTCAGCAGGCTGCGGCCACCCTGACCTTCCTTCTGTTACTTGAATATACCAAGCTCCTTCCAGCCTCAGGGCCTGAGCTCTAGCCGTCCCCTCTCCCTGGACCGCTCTTGCCCAAGACAGCGGAATGCGCTTGAGGTCACCACCGTCTCCATCCCTTCACCGCCACCCCTCCTGTCCTGTGTCCCTGCCTCACCCAAACCAATCCCACTTTACTTCAAGATGTCACAGCAAGTTGGTGGCAGAGCCGTGCTGTCTCAGGCCTCAGAGAAGGCCTCCCCGTGGTGCTGAGCTGCTGGTGCTGGCCTGTCTCCTTCTGCACCCAACTCGGATGTCCTATACTTCAGGACTGTGGGCCCAACCCCTGGGCCTGTTAGGGACTGAGCCACAGACCTCTGTGCTTCCCGCCCACTTCGTGGAAAAATTGTCCTCCATGAAACGTAGGGACGGCGGTGGGGGTGGGGGTGGTGCTGGACAGCGAGGGCGAGCGGCAGGTGAGCGGCAGGTGAGCAAGTGAAGCTTTATCTGTATTTATAGCCGCTCCCCATCACCCGCATCACCGCCTGAGCTCCTCCTCCCCCCACTCCCCATCCCTGGAAAAATCGTCTTCCATGAAATCGGTCCCTGGTGCCAAAAAGGTTGAGGACCACTGCTTTAGGACGTCTCCCCAGTGCACCCCATTCCCCACCATGGTTTAGCTAGCTGCTGTCAAGGCAGAGATTACTATTCTCCTGTCTCCTTAGAAACAGAACCGTATTTAGCTAAGTTGCCACAACTAAAAACACTATTAATACCTTTCCCAGCCTCCCTTGCAGCTGTGTGTGGCCAGGTGACCAGGTTCTGGTTGGAGAGGTTTGTAAGCAGAAGTGGGAGTCCAGGCAATCCCCTTAGAAAGGGAGCATTATGTGCCCTTCTCCTTCCTTTCTCCATCCAGCTTCTACAGGTAGCACTGCCCGTAGGGCAGCTCAGAGCGGCATGCTCGCCTGGCTTGGCTAATCTTCCACCCTCACACCTATCACTCCACACAGTGGGAGACAGTATCCTCTTCTTTAGAAGGCAGTGAGGACTGTATGTAACAAGGGATTGTCCTTGTCACAAGTAACTTTTGGTGTCAACATTCCAGCTGCAGCTCAGCCAGATGCACTAAGGCAGATCTGTGGCGGGAGGGCAGGGGCTGCTGGCTCCCTCAGTCTGCCTGGGGCATGGGGAATTCAGCCCTGGGCACAGCTCTGGGAGGACAGCACGTGGCCAGGTGACGGCTGAGCCGGCATCCTAGACACAGGGCACAGAGAGCACGAACTGGGAAGAGGCCTTACACACTTTGCTCAGCCCTGAAGCAAGTGCTCCCGGGCTTGAGGGCGGCTTGTCAGCTCTGTGTCTTGCCATGGGGCTAGTGGGCTGTGTTGGAACTGCCCCTGGACTGGGCGTTTTCCTTTTATGGCCTCCAGAAAGATCTATTAAGAAGGAGTTGTGTGCTGCACGGGGTCCCAGGGACTCTGGGAGAAGATGCCCCAGCTTTGAGAGTGGCATGTGTGAGACAGTCCGGAGGATCCCCAGGGGACCAGGCAACGGTCAGCCTTGGGCCCTGTCTGTGCAGCTACTGGACAAGGGGCTTCCTGGGGGGAGCAGACTGGTGACTTTGCCCCACTCTGCCCACTGCAGAGGCTGTTATAGGCGTCAGGGGGAGGGGAAGGCCACAGACCTGTTTCCCAGGGGGGTGCTGATGCGACTCTGTTCCTGGCTGCGTGGGTTGGGGCAGGGGCAGGGCAGGGTTTTCCTGGCATACACACCGCTGCAAGACACAAACCAACAAAAGCAAAATGTATGCGGGTAAGTGTATAGAAGAGAAGCTGAGGGTTTATATTTAGGGGCTGTCAGGGACTGAAGGTGTCCTCCCCAAATCCACTTTATAGATGAGAAACTGAGGCTTAGAGAGGTTAAAGACATTCTAAAAGTACCCAGCTGGTAAGTGGCAGGATCCAGAGCTAGTCACGACTCTGCGAGGCTTCAGGACCTGTGCTGTCAGCCACAACGCATCATTAGCGGGGTTCATTTCTGTGGCGTGCTAGGGAGCACACACGGCTTACCCCTGACCACACTGACTGCCCCTGGGTGGCCTGGTCGGCCAGCTCTGGGCTCCCTGGGCTGGGGGCAGCTCCAGCAGCTCACCACGTGCAGCTGTGCCCCTTGCCCGTGCAGCCGGGTGCATGCGCCTCGCCTTGGATTCCTGGTTGCATGCAGTGAGCCTAGCAGCTCCTCCTGGGAGGTGAAGAGGCGTGTGGACAGTTTATTCCACGTGCCTGTGATGATAAAGGCCCTACTCTGAGCCGTGTTGTAAGGATTCAGTGGCGGGATCCTCGTCCCTGCTTTGGGACGGTCCTGCCTGGAGACAATGTCAGAGCTGGAGGAGGCCCAAGAAGTCGCCTGGTTAGAACCCTCCTTTTACAGTTGGGGACGCTCAGCTGACAGGCAGGCTAGGGGTAGAGACAGGTGGGCTGGCTTCGCCCAGGCTGCGTCCTCAGTCCATGGTACTGCACAGGCCTGACAAACTGCTTGCCCCACCCCGAGGATGGTCTCTACCCCAGCTCCAGCCTCCTGCCCTCTCCCATCTCAGCCAGTGGCAGGGCCTCTTCCCCTGGGCCTGTCTCCACGGATCATGACCGTGGGTCAAACCAAAGGAAAGGAAATTAGAGCATGGGACTCCCCACCCCTTGCCTGTTTCCCAGCTGTCAGAGACTTCCCAAGAGCCCCCGGGAGAGTGGAGGATCTCCGTGGGAGTCTGGTGAGGACTGCTGTAGGACCAGAGACAGCCACAAGGTGGCAGGCTGTGCATGTTTTTCTTTGGAGGACAGTGGCCAATTCTCAGGGCTCCTGCCAGTGGTTCCTGGTGCAGGCCTGGCTGGGGAAGGGAGGGAGAAAGGGCTTTCCATCCTGCAGGTGCTTCTATTACGGTGGGTCAAGGTCAGTTTGGAGGCCATGGCATGTCTGCAATACCAAGTCATTTGCACATAAATGGCTCATTAACTTAATAGTTTCCAGTGGAGCTTTGTTCAGATTCCAGAGAGAGTTCACAAATGCAGACTGTGGGTGGAAGAGGAGGAGAGACAGACTGGGGCAGGGCAGCAGTGGTGGTCACATGGTGGCAGCTGGGGGCATCCAGTACCTTCTGCAGAGGCCCAGCTGCCCAGCCTGTTGCCTCAACCGGCTCATGCAAGAGGACAGAGCAATTGAAGGCTTGGAGCTCCTGAGGGAATTGACTCCCCCAGCCCCTAAGCCGCTCAAGTGTCCCTGGATGCCACAGCTCAGTTTCTGTAGCTCTCAGGATTGTACCACAGATGACCTTTGCCCGCTCTCTCTGCTCAACCAGCCTTTGACACTCAATTCATTTCTCATGTTGACATCCCTTCTGGAGAGAGAGCATGCGGACCATCAGAATGAATCACCTCTTTCTTAATAAGGATTCATAAGCGATACTAACAATAATTAGGCCTCCTGGGTTGCCAATCAGAGTGTTTAGTGCGATCAGCCTCCAGGCCCCGAGCACCCCTGGGGAAGCGGTGAGTCAGATTTCCCTCAGACCTGGCGAGCAGAGGACCAGCGCCCTGGCCTGGAGATTCCACCAAGAGCGGCCCCTCTGCAGTGTGCGCGGGAGCAGCCAGCTCCAGCTGCTCTGAAATGATGCCGAACATCTATCTGATCATAGCATGACAGTGTCACAGTGTCGGGGGCCCCTGGTGCACCTTACAGATAAGGCGAGGGGACCCCAAAGGGGCAGGCTGCTTGGCAGAGCTACGCTGGGATTCACGTGAGGACTTTGTGAAGGTCTACACTGAGGGGACTCCTTGGAGGTGGCCAGCGATGATCTGATGTACTCCTTTGAAATCCAAGGTTCTCACCGCAGGGTTAAGGATCTCTTGGCAAGCACATCCAGGGATCATCTTGGGTCGGGATACCTAAGGAAGGTGCAGGAATGCCCAAGGCCAGGACAACATAATGTACACATGGCCCTAAAGGGCAGCCTTGATGCTAAACAAAACTGCTGTGAGGAGTGAGAGTAGTGGCAAGACTCTGATGGGCCTGGGTGCCAATCTCACCGCTGATAAGCTGGGTGACCCCAAGCAAGCTCCTCGATCTCTCTGAGCCATGGTTTTTCATCTGTAGAATGGGGGACGATGATAGTCTACACGTTGCACATTTGTTCAGCGCCTGGCCCACAAGGGCCCTCGATAAATGACGGGGGCTATTATCACCATGCGAGAAGAAAGCCAGTGCTGTCTGCTTGGAGAATTTAAGGAAACTCATAGCTAATCCTCCACTGTGGGTTGTTGACAGAGAATGTCTGAGACGCTGTGATGACCTGGGACAGGGTCTCCCCGCTGTGTCACCCAGCGGAGTGAGCTCCTTACCACCAGATCTCTAAAGCCAGCCAGGGTGTGGGACCTGCAGCCTTGGGGCCACACGTGGCCTTCTGGATCCCTGAGTGCGGCCTTTTGACGAATTCTACAGAACAAACCCTTTTATTAAAAGGGGTGCAACACAGAAAGATGAAGCTTTTCTTGCCTCCTTTGGTGCTTAGGAAAGAACAATCTTGAAATCAGAAGGCCGCAGGTTTCCCAGCCCTGCCGGGAGGCTCCTTTTCCAATCTCTAGCAGGAACACTTTTCTTCTTACCTGCCTGGTGTGACCTTCCCTCCCCCAAATCTTGGCAACCTGCCTGGTGTGACCTTCCCTCCCCCAAATCTTGGCAATTCCCTCCCCAAACTACTGTGGGGAGGGAATTAGGGGGCGCTGGCCACTCACAATTGATGTGCCTTAACAAGGACTGTTCAGGACTCAGAGGTTGCAAATTCAAACTCATGTGCCCCCAGAGGCTGGCAGGTGCCCAGGTGGATGCAGAGTGGGCCAGGCGCAGGACACTGCCGTATTGCCACACACCAGTGCAGCTGCCTTCTTACACTGCTTTTTTAGTTTATTTTAATGAATAGACTTTTTTTTTTTGGAAAATTGTAAGTTTATAGAAAACTGAGCAGATAGTACGGAGTTCCCATATAGTCTCTTCCCCCACCCTTACAGTTTTTCCTATTATTGACATCTTGCATTGGTGTGGTTAATTTGTTACAATTGATGGACCTATAGAGATATATGAACTAAAGTCCATAGTTTATACACCGGTGCACTTTTTATGCTGTATCATTCTATGGATTTTGACAAAGGCATAATGTCTACCATCATGGTGTCACACAGAATAGTTGCACTGCCCTCAGAATTTTCTGTGTTCTGCCTATTCATCCATCCCTCCCCACAAGTCCATGGCAACCACTGGTATTTTTACTGTGTTCATAGTGTTGCCTTTTCCAGAACGTCATATAGCTGTATAGGCTTTTCATATTGGCTTCTTTCACTAAACAATATGCATTTAAGGTTCCTTCATGACTTTTCATGGCTTGATGGCTCATTTCCTTTTATTGCTGAATTGTATCCCATTGTGTGGATGTACCTCAGTTTGTTTATCCATTTACCTTTTGGAGGACATCTTGGTGGCTTCCAGTTTGGGGCAATTATAAATAAAACTGCTATAAAAAAAACCTTATATAGATTTTTATGTGGACATACATTTTCAACTTCACTGGGTAAATCCCTTGGAGTAGAATTGGGAGATTGTATGGTAAGACTATATCTAGCTTTGTAAGAGTATGTCAAACTGTCTTCCAAAGTGGCCATACCATTTTCCTTGTCTGCCAGCAGTGAACAAGAGTTCCTGTTGCTCCACACCTTCACCAGCATTTGGTGTTGTCAGTTTTTTTTATTTTAGCCATTCTAATAGGTAAGTAGTGGTATCTCATTGTGGTTTTAATTTGCAATTCCCTAGTGATATGTGATATTGAGCATCTTGTCATGCACTTATTTGCCATCTGTATATCTTCTTTGGTGAAGTGGCTGTTCAGATCTTCTGCCCATTTTAAAATTGGGATGCTTTTGTATTGTTGAACTTTTTAAAACTTCAGAATATTACGGGGGTACAAATGTTTTGGTTACATGGATTGCTTTTGTGCAGTTTGAGTCAAAGTTATAAGTGTGCCCATCACCGAGATAGCATGCATTGTATACATTAGGTATGAATTTACCTATCCCCCCCCCACACACCTGCTTGGTTTCTGCTGAGTTTTACTATCATACTTGCACGTGAGTGTTGATCAATTAGTTCCAATTTAATAGTGAGTACATGTGGTGTTTATCTTTCCATTCTTACAACACTTCACTTAGAAGAATGGTCTTCAGTTCCATCCAGGTTGCTACAAAACGTATTAGTTCACCATTTTTTTAATGGCTGAGTGATACTCCATGGTGTACATATCCCGCCTTTTATTAATCCATTCCTATATTGATGGGAATTTGGGTTGATTCTAGCTCTTTGTGAATTGTGCTGCTATAAACATTCGAGTGCATGTGTCTTTTTGATAAAAAGACTTTTTTTTCCCTCTTTGGGTAAATACCCAAATAGTGGGATTGCTAGATTGTTATTGTTGAATTTTAAGTGTTCTTTTTATATTTGGGATTCAAAACTTTTATCAGATAGATATATGTTTTGCAAATATTTTCTTCCAGTCTGTGGCTTATCTTTTCATCTTTTAACAGTGTCTTTTGCTGAGTAGTGTTCTAAATTTTAATGAAACCCAACTTATTTTTTTTCTTTCATGAATCTACACTGCTTTTCAAAATACCAAGCTTGCTAAACCAACACACCATGCTAGCTGTTGCCCCTGGGCTTTGGAGCTCACATAGGAGCTGTTTCCTAAAACTAGAATACAAGCTGAAGTGTGGCACCCAGGGACAGATTGGGGGATGTGGGAAAGTCCTAGGAAAATATCAGCCTGGTACAGAGGGGCTCACTGGCTGGTGTTTTCTTAAAGATGAGATTTTCTTTTTTAAAGAATAGTTTTAGATTTACAGAAAAGTTGCAAATATAGCAGAGAGCGTTCCCATACAACCCATACCCAGGTCCCACTATTGCACATGTTTATGCTAGTGTGGTACGTTTGTCACAACTAGTGAACCAATGTTGATACATTATTATTAGCTGAATCATTATTATATTTCATTTGGATTTTCATAGTTTTTACCTAGCGTCTTCTTCTGTTCTAGGATCCCGCCCAGGACATTGTATTGCGTTTGGTCTGTGTGTCTCCTTACACTCCTCTTGGCTGTGACAGATTCTCATCCTTCCCCTGTTTTTGATGACCTTGGCAATTTGAGGAGTACTGGCCAGGTATTCTGTAGAATATTCCTCAACTGGGATTTGTCTGATGTTTCCCTCACGCTGTGACTGGCATTATGGGTTTTTGAAAGGAAGGCCACAGAGGTAAAGTGCCATTCTCATCACATCATACTAAAGATACTGCCTGGCACTTTTTATAAAAAAGCTCTATTTTACATTTCCAACATGAGTGCTCGGTGCCTCGTCAAACCCAGAGGACTGCTCCTTGGTGGAGCAGACAGCGGCCCCACGCACGCTGCCCTGGCGCCTGGCCTGACAGTCTTGCGGCTGAGGGATGGAGGGTGGCAGGAGGCACGTGTCACCGGCTCTACCACCTGGGGTGTGGCTGGAAGCAACATGGTCCGTGGGGAGGTGAAGTCCCTGCTGGATCATTCCATCATTTAGGGAAACTGGCTCTCTCCTGAGTCCTTGCTGGGACAAAGGGCTCCCCTGCATCTCGGCAGGCTGGCTACCCCCAGCCTACCACCAACGCCCCCCTCCTTCCCCAACACCCCTCCTTCTCCCATGCTATGCGCCCCTCCCCCCACCAACCCTTTCTTCCCACTCGGGGGACAGGACCAGGGTCTGATTATTAAACCTCTTGCCTCTTGTTACCATGGCAGTAGGTCTACCAGCTGTCACAGTGAGGGGCTGAAGGGCTGAGTGCTCAGAGAAGCTTGAAAGCCACTGGCCTGCATGGCTAATTAAATAGTAAAAGGAATTCATCTTCCTGGCTCACGTTTAGAGCCACAGGAAGGGGCCAAGGAGAGAGGCAGGGAGCCTTTGCTGGGTACCCTAACACTGCTGGCACGGTCTCTCCTTACCTTTTGTTAAACAGAATCTGGGACTGGTCATGCTGGGCTTCCGATGTCTGGGGAAATGGCTTCATGTGATCCAGTGAATTCACTGCTGGAGATTTTACCTATTGGGCCAAGGAGGAGTTTCACAGTGTTAGCTTGAACCTAATGGCATGGGAAGAAAAAGCCAGCTATGACAGTTGGTATATGCAATGTTTATGGCAAAAACAAATCTGACATGTAATGACCGTGGTCATGGGCAACAAAACGCTGTCCTTGCTGGTAGGATTATGGGTAACGTTTGATTGATTCTTCGTGTTTTCTGTGCTTTCCAAGTTTTCCAAATTGAGCATGTATTACTTTTTATAGCTAGAAAAAAAAATGCTTAAAATGCTATCTGACAACTCTCTAGAAGTGCTTTCTGGTCTTGCTTCTCCTTGTCTCAAAGGCTCCCCGCTGGAGTCAGGAGAAATCCAGGAACACTTCTCGCAGGGGCAGGGCTCCGCCTCGGGGCCGGGAACCCCCGTGTGGCTCCACGCAGGCCTCGGGAGCAGGGCTTCTATCGCGCTGATCCAGGTCTTGGCAGGATGCCCTGTAATCCTCCCCGAATGTGGGGGCGCAGGACGCTGTGAGTCGTGGCTACAAGGCTGTTTCCCACTCGCCCCCCACCCTCCTGGGAGGCTGGCCCAGCGCGGCTCCTCACTGCCACCTTTGTTCTCAGTGATGTTTGAGGCTGCCTGCCTTGGCCCACCCGGGGAACAGCCACAGGCTTTGAAATTGCTTAGCAACAGCATGGAATTGGCTCCTCTGCGACAGGGTGTCCCACCGTCCCTGGTGCTGTCGTTTGGTCCCTTTGGTTTCAATGACATCTGTAGGACAGGAGGCACATGGAGTTGACATCTTTGGCTACTGTGGCTTTCACTGTCTCTGTAAGTAATAAACTGAGTCTGTCAGCCTTGGCCAGACACTTCCTGAGTCACCCTGGACGTCCTCGCCTACCTGCCGGTCAGCGGCCACACTCCCTGGGGCACCTGCTGCGGCTGATGCAGCGGCCAGGTGGGCTCTTAACCCTGAGCCCACAGACAGAACCCAGGGGCTGTGTGATGTGGATAGGAACCTATTACATCTCTATTTCTCCTCACTTCTACCTGAAATTTAGCATTTCTAAAATAAATTCAATAAATGCAGACAACAAACCACAGTAGTATTAGCAATGCCTGTGACATTGTCACCAATAGAAATCATGCATATTTTCTTATCCCATTACAATTGGTGCAGAAATCTTGAAATATTGTGTCCATCATTATTTTGAAATTATGGTAAATATTGGGCCCACCCTTAGATCTTCTAAATTAATGCATTTTAAGAGTGGTATACATATTACTATAGCTTAACTTTGCTTTTAAAGTATTTTGATAACTATTTCAATCTAATTGGTTTCTTTGTAATCTTGTGCATTTAATTTTATACAAATGTTCTTCTCTATTGTCCTGTCACATGGCATTTGGTGACACTGGTTATTGCTCGCCTGCATCCTTGGGCAAATATCCTTTCACATCTCAGTCCCTCATCCTTAAAATGAAGGGATCAGCCTGTTAGAAAATGACTTAGGGTCCCGCCAGCCACACAAGTGATATGATTACGGGCATTTTGTCATTTCCATTGTACCACAACTGAGGGGTTCCATGAGGACAATTGAAACTGGGATTCTATACTAACACTTCTTAACACTTCTTATTTTAACCTTTGTAGTATTATAGAGAACTTCTAAGAATTTGCCTAGGAAATGTGCAAAAATTTATCTACAAATACATTTTGAGTGAAAACTAGAAACAACCCAAACATTCAACAATAGGAGATTGGTTAAATCAATTAAAATATATCCACACAATGAAACAGTAACAGCCTTTAGAGTAGCATAACAACATGAAAAAATAGGTATGCTATACAATTAAGTTTAAAAAGCCATTTGTGATACTTGGACACCAATATAATTCTATTTTTTATAAAAATATGCAGATGGATATGCATAGAAATAAAGATAAAATCATATAATCCAACATGTTAGTAATATTGGTTATATTTAAGTGGAGGGATTATGGTGATTTTTTTTGTTTTTCTGCATAGTAAAATTTCTATATATAATATATAACATATATTATTTATATATTTTATATGTAATATATATATAATAATATATGACTCCATAATAAAAACAATAAGTGATGTCAATATACTATCACAGGAGGATGTCACACCAAGCACTGCTGGCATGCTCATTGGTTTAAGGAGCCACATCTTCCAGCCCTCACCTTTCCATGCATCAGGTGGTTATTTTAGGCACCAGAGCAAGGCAACAATTACTCCCCTATCTTTGTAGTCCTTGTTACTACAAGGGGCACCTGCTACTTGAGCAGGGGCTGAGAACACATGGGCTTACGGGTCAAAGCCCCCACTTTCTGTCTCCTGACATCCCATGGAGGGCACGTGACTGGCCCCTCCCCAGCTGTCCCGATGCTCTCCAGACCGTACCTGCAGGTTGCTGGCCTCCTCTGCCCACCAGGCTTCAAACTCTTTCTGTAGCTTCACCTTGGCTTTGTCCATGAGCAGCTGCAAGTGCTCGATCTCCACCTTCAGGGCTTTCAGGCGTGTGAACATGGTTTTATACCTGCGGAGGAGTCAGAGAAGAGTCAGTTACGCCGTCCGGGAAGCCCTGGCACGGAGGAGGGTGCAGGACGTGGACAGGGCCGATGCCTCCAAAGCCTGGAGCACTGCCCTGTGGCACAGGGCCTGGGACCCTATAGGAGCTGCCGAGGCCAGGACATGGCACCAGGGGTTGAGTCCATCATGGAGAAGCAGAGTGAGGCACTTTGTCCACTAGGCCATGGGGATGTGTGTGTGAGATGAACAGCCCTCCTGCAAGACGGGGTCGTCCCTCAGGGGCAGGCACTGCTCTAGGCATTTGACAGATATGAATGCCCTTCACAGCCCCACGAAGAAGCTACTGTTATCGTCTCCCGAGGCATGGAGGAGCACAGAGTTCACAGGGAGCCAGGATGTGAACCCAGCAGTCTGGCTCTAGAGCCACACGCTTAACTGTCACTGTTGCATTGCTTCACTTTCCTGCTGAGGATCAGAAGTCCCAGCACTCAGTTTGTTCCTGTGCATGTTCTGTGTTGGTGTGTGTGGGGGGTGCTGTGACCAGCCAGACACTGTCAACCAGGAAACAGGCCACCAGCCCAGCTGAGGAGACAACTTGGCTTCTGCGGTGCCACCAAGATTGGAACCAGGGGGACAAGATGAGGGTGGAGCAAGGGACACAAGAACAATGGGTTGGAGAGGAACTGAGGAAAATGAATGGGGCCAGGGAGGAGGTGGACCACCGGGGAGCACCCCGAGGGGGCAGAGCAGTAGCGGCGTGCAGGGTGGGGCAGTCAGGGCACCCTGGAGGGAGACGACATGGTGCACAGCTGTGGAGAGAAACCGGGGACCAGCGCCCGGGGCTTTGTTCTCCTGGGTGTGAGCGTGAGTGGGTGCGGGGTGCTGGCGGGCAGGACTGTGTTGCGATGATAACACGAGCACCTTGAGGCGGGGGAGGTGACTGGGTTAGCACGTCTAGAACCTACCCACGGCACGGAGGAGATGGCACGCATTTGTTGAGTGCATACATGAAAGAATGAGCTAAGCAGCTGGATTGGGATGTTGAGCAAGATCCTGTGACCGTGCTGTGTGTCACTGTCACATGCCTGTTTTTGCTTGAGACTCCTCACGCTGTAAGTGAAATCATTTTGGGACCCTAAATGGCTGCACGAGGGTGTAGTGTTCTCAGGACTCAGGAGGGAAGTTGGGCTCCAACGGCAGGCTCTGAGGAAGACCACCGCGGTCATACTTCTTGACTCCCCTAGGTGGCAGCAGCAGACAAGCCCAGCTGCTTCCCCGGCCTGGGGGGCGTGGTGGGGGGGTTGTCTGTTCTGCCTTCTAACCTCATCCTACCAGAGTGTGTCTGTGGACCCAGCTACTCGGGAGGCCGAGGTGGGAGGATCGCTTGAGACCAGGAGTATGAGGCTGCAGTGAGCTATGATCGGGCCATAGCATTCCAGCCTGGGTGACAGAGTGAAGCCCCATCTCTAAAAATTAAAACAAAAAAATATAATAACAATAACCTGACAGTACCTAGGGTCCTGCTTTTCATCCCTGCCTGCCAAAGGCAGAACCTCCCCTTACTATTTTAGGACACAGTTGCTGGACCCGCTAGTTTCAGCCCTGGGGCTTGGTCGCTCTATCCTTGAGGCCCTGGGAAGCTGGGGCCAGACTGTGTGAGGCTAAGAGGAAGGGCACCTTCTCTTTTCTTCCTCCAGTTGGGACCGCAGCCTCTCTTCCTGCAGGTCTGGCGTGGAGGGCACGGCCGTATTTTCTGAGATCCCTGCAGGAGGAAGGCAAAAGGCAAAGCGTGACATTTAGGGCAGATGACAGGGTTCAAGTGCGTCCCAAGATGAAAGGGGACCCTGTGAATTCCTTCCGAGGCCTCTGGATGGCAACCTTTGCTCAGCTGAAAGCCCGGGGAGGAGCAGCTTCTGGGATGACCCACCCTCCATTCAGCGTCTGCCCGGGGAAGGGAATTCTTCCCTCCATCTCTACTAATCCTTTTACGGCTGAGCTCACTCATTTCCTCTGGAGTCCCCAGGGAAGATGCAGAATCGCATTTCCCTACCTTCTGATAAAGAGCCCTTCCCAAACGAAAAAAAAAACCCTCTCTAAACCGTCTCACATCTTTCTCTGCATGAGTGGAGGTGCTGGATTTTCTAGCCTCAGAATCACGTGCCCTGGTTTTCACTTCCCTCTACAGCAGTGGTTCTCAAGCCTGGTCAACCCAGGTGACGTCAGTATGCAACCAGGGCTGAAAACCAGCCTTGGTGACAGCCTGGCGGAGGGCTGAGCATGTCAGCAGTGATCGGCTTGTGCCCACGGCCTGTGTCCCCACTCATGCGACCTCTGTCTGGCCCCCATATGGCTGCCTTTGGTGGCCTGGTTGCCCGCTCTGCCCGGTGTGCTCTGAAGCTGGTCCTTTCCTACCCTGGTGGGTGGGGTCTGTTCGTCCTCCAGAGTCTCTTTGTGGTCGCACTGATTTCTCAGAAGAGACATCATGGAAGATATCTTAGAAGACACACGGGCCTGCTTTTTACTCCACATACGGGAGAATGAATCTACTGTGGTCCAGGTGCCTCTGCACACGCTCAGACTTAATCCTTACAGCACTTATTTGAGGTAAGTGTTATTATTCCTCTTTTACAGATAAGGACACTGAGGTTCAAAGAGGTTAACCTGCTCAAGGCATGTGGTTGACTTTAGGAACCTGGGTTTGTTTGGTTGCAAGGGCCTTGGATTCAAAAATTCCTCCTATAACATTTCTGACAGATGGTCATCTGCTCTCCGCTTAAGCACTGCCAGGGATGGGAGCTCGCTGCCTTGCTGGATAGCGATTTCACTGTGGACAGCCGTGTCTCCTCTTACTCTGAGCCGAGACCTTCACCACTAACTGCATCACTACCCTGGCTCTTTGGAGCAACACGGCGTGCCCTTCTTCTTAGCCCGATGGCCCCCTGAATAACAGCAACATCGACATGCAGTATGTGTCTGCACCTTTTCCCCAGGCTGACTCTGCCCAATTCCCTCATCTGAGCACCCAGTGACCTGGTTGCTTTCTAATTTATCTCAGGTAGATAGCCTAGATCTGGACATCAGACTTCAGAGAGGTCTGGAAAGTCCAGGGTAGAGAACGACTCTGCTTTGCTTTTGAAAATTTAATTTCTATGGCAGGTGAATTACGAACAAAGACCATTTATTGAGTGCCTTCTATATGCTAGGTTCTGCCAAGTCCTAGTAAGCACTGGGCTGGGTCCGCTACCTAACTTATTGCTAATTCTCAAACTAACCCTGCAGGGAAGGCGTCACCATGTCATTTCAGTTAGAGACTTAGTCTCAGAGAGGGCCATGCATAACCCAAGGTCCCACAGCTAGTAAGTGGCAGGGCTGGGAGTTGAACCCACTCTTTTTTCTAGTGCCAAAGAGCTACATGTTTTCCCGGGCCAGCCTCCCCAGCACGGCTCGTGTTTTCAGCAGCTTTGCCGCGGTCGGCCCCCTATTAAGCTTGTGGTCAGTTTAAACACTTTCATATTTTTTCATGAGTGATTGTCAAAACGCATCCTCTTTCAGTGCGATTGTCCTTTTGATCCCAGAGGCCACACTTCACATTTATTGGTGGTCTAGCCTGCCGAGAGGTCCTTATTCTGTCACGCAGTCTTCTTTCCCCTTTGGCGCCCTTACCGATTTGCCACCCGTGTCTTTTATGTCATTAACATATCGATAAAGATGCTAACTAGATCAAGATTTTGTCCTTTGCCTTCTAGGTACCAGCAACCCTCCCCCTTCCTTGTGTCAAGCGACGAGTATAAACTGACCAAGCAAGTGTTTTATTCTGTCATTTAGACATAGGAAATGCAGACACCACAGACTTCCCAACTGAAGGCAGCTGTCATCTGTGTGGGTGCATCTCACGGGCCCTGATGAGGCAGACTGCCTGTCGCATCTCCCCAGCCCCCCAGGACACAGGCACAGGAAGCCCCGAGGGCAGGGACTGGGTCCTTCGCTCTGTGTGTCTCCCCCCAGTGCTTGGCTCGGCCGCCGTGCACGGGCACGCTCAGTGCCATGCGTGTTTGCTGGCCCCATCTTTGAGAAATGCCAGGCATGCCAAACTGAAGGAAGTATCTTTTTTTTTTTTGAGACAGAGTCTCACTCTGTTGCCCGGGCTACAGTGAGTGCCGTGGCGTCAGCCTAGCTCACAGCAACCTCAAACTCCTGGGCTCAAGCAATCCTCCTGCCTCAGCCTCCGGAGTAGCTGGGACTACAGGCATGCGCCACCATGCCCGGCTAATTTTCTCTACATATTTTTAGTTGGCCAAAATTAATTTCTATTTTTAGTAGAGAGGGGGTCTTGCTCTTGCTCAGGCTGGTCTCGAACTCCTGGGCTCAAACGATCCTCCTGCCTCGGCCTCCCAGAGTGCTGGGGTTACAGGTGTGAGCCACCGCACACAGCCTGAAGGAAGTATCTTCACATCAAACTGACAACAGCAGGACTTCAAATGGACAGAATATTCCCTTCCCCACCAGTGTCGGAAACGGGCCCATGTATCCTACAGCCTGCTGAAAAAGACACACCGTGAATCTCCTTCTTTCAATACTTTTGAGCCCACCCCACGGGGCACCCCTGAGCAACCCAGCGACGGCCTCCCTGCTCTGTGGTGACTGGCACCGCGCACGCGGGAGGCGGCTGGAGGCTGGGGAAGGAAGGGCGCCTGGACGTGCCCAGGGAGTGTGACTTGGGCGGGCACAGGCAGCCTCTGGGGCTTCATGAGCGGGTGGACGGAGGGCCGGGGGGAGGCCAAGGGGGCCTGGGCTTCCATAGAAAGGCTGCGGCCGCCCCAGCATGAAGTTGGGGCCTTCCTGCAGGAGGGAGGCTCGTGCCTCCGCCACCCCTCCCCCCTGCTGGGTGTCTTTTCTCTGGTGTCCGGCAGCCTCCCCGATGATCACAGAGTTCGAGGGCCCTGGTTGTGTGTGGAGCGTTAGGTGTGTCAAGGAGGCTTGAGGCGAGAACACTGAGAGCGGCTCACACGCATGGGAAGGTCGTGCCGGCTGCCACTGGTGGAGTCCCTCGGGCCCAGGCGCTGTGTCCCACCTCATTCGCCCTCACCACTCCAGCTGGAAGATATTGTCACCTCTGCTTCATAGCCGAGTAGACCAAGGCTTAGGGTGACCAGGTGGCTTGTGCAATGACGCAAAGCTAGCAAACAGCAGGGCCAGGCTCTGAATCCAGGCCTAGTCATTCACTCACTTATGTGACAAATGTTTGTCCAGCGTCAACTCCGTGCCTGCCCCTCCTCTAGGCGGGGACTCTAGTGGGGAAGACGGACACTAAATCAACAAAAGAACCGAGTCTGCCACGTGACGCCGGGGACCAAAAGGGGCTATGAGGAAGGCGGAGCTGGGTAAATGGTAGAGAATGACAGGAGAGAGGGCTGCGGATCGGGGTGCAGAGCGCAGTAGGACCGCAGGCGCCAAGGGCCTGAGAGGCCAGCCTGCCTGGTGCGCCTGAGAACGGTGAGGGCGCTGAGCGGCTGGTAAAGGAAAGGGGTGGGAAACCGAGGCCAGACCACGTAGGACCTTGTGGGCCATGGCAAGGACTTTGGCTTTGAGGGAGATGAGGGGCTGGAGGGTTTTGAGGAGGGGACTGGCTTGGTTTATTCCTTTGCTAGCGGAGTCAAGCTGCTTTGTGCCGACTGGGACAAAGCTACTCGAATGAACTGAAGACCAGTTGAGGCAGGGTGGCGCCAGGACGCCGTGAGCCTGTTGAAAGGGTCTGGGAAAGAAAGCTGGGGCGGGCCAGGGACCTTGGGCAGCCAGAATGAGGGCACAGCATACCCCCAAGACACAAGCTCCCCGTGTTGTCATGGCAATCAAATGGGCCATGGCCCAAGGTGACCTCTGCTTAGTGAAATGCAAGCCCAACGGGAGCCAGGCTCCCGCGGCTCTGGGTGTCCTGAGGCTTGTCCCCGCAGCGCTGCCCTCTGCAGAGAGACGGGGGCTGGGAACTCAAAGGGAACCAAACAAAAGCGACTGAGCAAGAACAGAGAGAGAGGGAGCAACCAAAGGGCACTTGAGTTTGTAGGTCTCGGTCCTCAGTGGGACTCTGGAAGGGACAGAACCTCCAGTCACCTGACAGGAGGCGCAGGGAGCCCTCCTTTCAAGGACAGGATTCTGGCTGGGACAGCAGCACAGAAGGTCATAGCCCCGAGTAGCCGGTGAGGTCACCCTGTTAAGCTGTGGGGGCAGCTGGCTCCAAAGCAGTACAAAAGCAAGAGAAAAGGGTTTCATTGCGGTGGCTGTACAGCTGAGAGTCACATAAGGAGGCAGCCCTGAGCAGCCAAATGTTACAGTCACTGAACCTTCAGGTGGGGGAGGGTGCACAGTTGCAGGCCGACCTTACCGCTGAGTGTCCGGTGCTGGAGAATTAGCAGTGCAAGGACAGGAGGGGCTCTTGCTGAGAGGGACAGCCAAGATATGGACCCCCTCCTCCCTGCCACGATTTCATGATTTCACATGGGAAGGTCTCTCTAACTCCCCTTCTCACTTTCCCATACCCTCTTCTCAAACACTCTCTCTCTCTCTCTCTGCCCCCTACGTAGATATCTGATGTCTGCAGCGTGCAGAATCATTTCTTTGGTTCAATGGTTCCCAACGAGGGGTGTACATCAGAATCACTTAAGGAGCCTGTAAAAGCTCAGAGACAGCTGGGCCCTACTGGGGTAGGTCTGGAGCTAAAATTTCCCAGTAGTGTTCCCTGGTGATTCTGATGCACCCCCCTTGCTA